CCCCCTAAATATTTCCCTCCTCGCCATAAACAATGAATAGTCCCAAATAATTCGTCCTTTCTCTTCCTTCTTCGCCTATTGCTTTTATTTTTGCCCCATGCCCTTACGCTGCTCACACCTTCCTTGGTCACGCTTCTCCCGTTTGAATAAACGGAAACAAAACGGCTTATTGTTCAAACTTCCGATATTTGAGCGATACGCTTTTCAAAGATTGATTGATTACCGATTATCGACTGTCTATCATTTGTGTATCGGAAGATATTCGGTTTCAATATCGACCGTGACGTAGTTGCAAAAACTTGCATCCACTTCGAAGTCTCGTGTTAGTCATATGACAAAACTTTCACAATCATTTTTTCCTCGATTTCACCCTCTAATATCTCAAAGGAATGAACCAAACGTCATGGAAAGCTTGAATAGTTTAGAAACTTCAAACCAGCCGGAAATTATCACTCAGACTGTTGATTCGGATGCTTTTGACTCAAACATTACCGACTGTCAATCGCAACTCAATCCCGATTTAGTTGTGTACCCCATGCGATCTTTAATCGATGAAAAGATCAGCATCGTCGTTAGAGGTCTCACTCCAAGACAGCGCATAACATTGAAGGCAAAACTAACTGGAGATTCCAAAGAAGAATTCGAATCTTACGGCCATTTTATCGCGGATGGAGCAGGAAGGGTTTGTATTGCGGAAACTCCATCGTTATCGGGAACATACACCGGTGTCGATTCTATGGGTCTACTGTGGAGCATGAAACTTTTACCTGGACAGAGGAAAGGGCAACGGCTAAGCAAGAAAGACGTCACAAAACCTTATTACGTTCACCTCCACTTATTTAATGGCCATGTTGAGGATTTTGCCTGCAAAGAAGTGAAGGAACTGCAGCCGATCCGTAGCTTGACACTTGAGAGGTGTTACATGACATGTGGTGTGCGAAGAATTCCTGTTAGGAATGGAAGGTTGCGAGGTACTTTGTTTTTACCTCCTGGAAAAGGACCGTTCCCTGGTGAGTTGAAGAGACTGCCTGTTTATGTTTTTTGTTGTTGTTGTTGTTGTTGTTGTTGTTGTTTATAGCCTTCTCTATCTTCTAAGAAAGATCTTTAAAAGGAATTCCCGCGTAGGCCTTCTTTAGGGCATTACACAGCTCTTAGGGAAAGGATCGTTGCGTGACATATTAAAACGATGGCTTCATAGGACATCATACCCACAAAGTTACGTTACGAAAGGTCATCGTAACTAGGTGGCAATTAAACAGAATCGAAAAAAAGACTCGGGTCTCAACGACTTACACCAAGAGAGGGTCAGGTAAATTTTATGCTTCCAACAAATGATCGTCCTATGATACAGAGATAGCGCTGTTCGCATGTTAGAGATAGAAATTGCTTCTTAATTTTGCGTGGTACCAGGAAGAATTCTGATGTTTAATCGGTGCAGATGGCTCTTTCATAAAAGTGAATATGACTGACGGGTTACAGAAAAAACATTCGCTGCCCGACTTAACCGACTTATTCCAACAGTCAAGTTTCCACGAAAGAAGGGCGGGGGGGAGGGGAAGTGGGAGTTGCAAGAAATTGTTTTGTATACATCCTCCTGCCAGTTCGTGTAGCAATAATGAAAACGGTTGCGGGGGATACCATAATACCCTGTCACCCTCTCTTGCTCTCTCTTTCTCTATCTTTCTAGGTATCATTGACTTGTTCGGCACGATTGGAGGTTTAGTAGAGTTCAAGGCCTCCCTTTTGGCCTCTCATGGCTTTGTAGCCCTAGCCCTGGCCTACTTCGCGTACGATGACTTGCCAAAGGTACCAACAGAACTTGAGTTGGAGTACTTCTTCGAGGCCTGTGATTGGATGCTGGCGCATCCTGACGTCATGTCCTGTGGTCTGGGAGTGATGGGCGTTTCTAAAGGTTCGGAGTTAGCTCTTATTTTAGCAACACATCGGAAAGAAGTAACTGCGGTTGTGGGTATCTCTCCTGCGCATGCTCTCATAGCTTTTCCGCTGAAATATAAAGGAGAGCCGTTGGCCTTCCTTAAATTTGAACCGGATCTCGTCAAGCTGTCAGAAAATGGAGCTATGATCTTTAAAGAATCATACCCGCCGGATGCGACTGATGGTCCGAGACGTGCCGCTACCATCGCAGTCGAGAAAATTCAGGGGGATATATTGCTTATATGCGGGGCTGATGACCAGAATTGGAGGGCACAGGAAATGGCACGCAAAATCCGTTTCAGATTGCATAAATACGGAAAAGGATCGCGTTGTACAATCCATACTTATCCCGGAACGGGACATCTGATTGAGCCTCCTTACACACCCACGTGTCATCTTTCCTATCATAAGTCGTTTGGGATGTGTGTGGAATGGGGCGGTGAACCACGACAACAAGCATTCGCCCAAGAAGATTCCTGGAAACATATCTTAAACTTCTTCGCCAATAACCTGTCATTGAAGAATAAGAAAAGTCGTTTGTAGTTCAACATTTAGTTCTCTAGGTGGATTCTGGGCCAATTTGCATGGACGCTGAAACCTGATTTCATTCGATTGATTATCAACTCTACACCGCCGTAGCGATGTTTAATTAACGAAAGATCGCTAACAAGAGATTATAATGTCTTGTCGATTATCGATTTATTGTTTCATACGCCTGCCGACGCAGTACAAGAGTTTCTTTTTTCGAGGAAAAAAAAGTTGAGCAATTCGTAAATGTGTAGAGTCATTAGGTGTCGATAACTGATGATTTAGAACATTTAAAAGCAACTAAAATGCAAGGCTCGTCATTTCATCCTACCCTCTGGAAAAGTTTAAAATTATATCGGGCAATATGGATGTACTAAACCGCAACTTTCTGTTCTGATTAAGAAATAGGCGTACAAAAGAGAATCAGCAGATGTACTCTGTTTAGCACATACCACATACCTGTTGAAGGCCTAAATGTAATAACTGTCTTAAATGTAATAAAGTCCTAAATGTAATAACATTTGGTTCTAGATGTAATTAAGTCCTAAATGTAATAATATTTGGTCCTAAACGTAATAAGCCTTCAAAGCAATCATTTAACTCCACCAGTGCATTGTTGCATAGCGAACATCCACATTTAGATGTTAAAGTGACAGCTGTTGCACCAAAAAATCCTCCGACCAATATTCATGTCACATCGCGGACTCGCTGATATTAATCAGCGTCTTTTTTTATTTACTAGACTGCAGTCGATAAGTATTGGCTGCAAACCACTTGTATTGCGCAAAATTCTAATTTCTTTGCGCATTATAATTTGATGACGTAACAGATATAATTGTTAAGATTTTCTATCGCTAGACAGTGCTATGGACACCTAGAACCAATGGGTAAATATTTATCTTGATTTCTTTTGATATTATCGATATGAACTGAAACTAATTTGTTAACGCATTACTTTACAGATTTCGAATCTCCGATCCATATCCATGGTTTTTGTCATAACCTTCATCCGTTATTTATTGTAATAAAATATCGAGGTTTGGAACCTTTGGTATATTAATGTCCTAACACACCGTCACACCACTACACTTATGAACACTTGGCATCAGAACGCTGACCAATACGCCTCCATGTATCACTGGCTCAGACTCTTTAAGTGCAAGAGATTTTGGAAAATGTGATAACGTTATTCATGTCTGATCAGTGATAGAGTTAACAAGTCATAAATGAAAATTACAAACCTAGACGGGGAGCCTACTTACTTGTGGCTCGAACAATTTGCAGGCTCGGATATACATTTTTTGTCTTTCTTCGCCTGAATAGACTTTGTTAGCATGCACATTTGTTTCCCAATTCGGACCTCGTGACAGTATTCTAGAGAGTGATTACTTTCAAACTCTCGAATATCTTCGTGAGTATATGAATATGAACAAAATGATTTTGACCCCAAGGGAACGTAATTGGGACAATTATGTCCTGCGCAAGAAAAAAAGTTCGTGGAGCGGACTAACAAAGTTTGTAACTATTGGACAATCGCCGATTCCCGTATCCCGTTCATAATAGCAATCCCGCATCTCGCTCCCTTCTTACTTTAAATTCCCGGATCTCGGATTTTAAATAAGCCTAATCCCGAATCCCGAAAAAACCTCTTCGAGACCCTCATAACTCTTCAGCTTTTGTCATGAGATGCATCCGTGAATTCAAATATTCTTACCGTGTCGCGCGACTTCCCTTCTTGGAGCAAAGGGTTTCTACGTGGCGCGGACCCGTGATGCGTTATTAAGACCAAAGATTTTTTTCCCTATTTGACCTATTTGCGGGTTCCGGTTTTTCTTCGATCTGAGCGGCAATTACGCGCCTCCATTGACCTCGAATAGCAGCTAAACGCAAACATTATCGAGACGAATGCGTGACAAACCAACTGAAATATTGCAGGGCTAAGCACGGAACATTGCCAGGGTTTCTTCATCAACGCCACCACGAAGTTGGTGATCAAGGTACAGGCCACACGTGACTGATTGATTCAATATTCCAATAGAATCTCCAAAATTTCAGGTCTTAGTTCGCAAATGGATTTTCGATGAACCTTTCCAGAGCTATAGCTTTTGCGACTGCAAAATTGCAATCCTATAGAGGACTTTAGGGCGAATTTCCTTAATTTGACTAGGCTCCATTACCAGCTGCTGAGTCCGTAGAGACCACGCTTGAGGTCGTCGAAAGAGCAGCTGTTAATTTAAGCAGATACAGAAGATACGAATGCCAAGTCCATGGCATTCATAAATCCTGTAATGAAATTGGTGTAGTTTACTCTGTATGCTTCACCTGTCACCGCTGTATCGGATCGATCCGGGTTTTAATAGCAAGGATGAGAAAATGTATCGGTTTGACAGTTTTGCATGCGGTTTTCCGGTTTTGATCGAATTTTTTTGTTTGTATTTAGGTTTTGGATGCGGTTTTGCGGTTTCTAATAAGCCCCAATACCCCCTCGTTGTGGGTGATGCGAATGACTTGTGAGAAAAATGAAAGCAAATATTTCCATGCAGCATAAACAACATATTCCTATTCATCCTATGCCTGCTGACCGCAGCACCTGGCTACAGCCGACAGTGCCATCATTAGGAAATTCAAGGGGAAGTGATGATTTCTTCCCCTGGTCATTTACAGCTCGTTGGATATTCTCTTTTCTTTAGGAAGTTTAAAACTTGCAGCAAGGTAATTCAACGCTGTATTTCGGTAATGTCGAATCCTGGCGTGACTCCAAACATCCACGTTAATCCTCGTGTGTCACTTATGGACCGTAAGGTCAAGATATGCTTATCTGGACTTGAAGCTGGCCAAGCTGTTACATTACATGCCTCCGTTGTGGGTGATGCGAATGAAATATTCGAATCTCATGCACATTATGTGGCTGACAAAGACGGTAAGAAATATGCTATATGCACTTGAAGTGTGGGAAAGATTCCTTTTCAAGTGGTTGACAGACAAACATGACAAATATATGGTATTTTGTAAGTGTACTTCAGCTAGTCCTTCGTCAGAGCGAATCCCTAACCTTAACTTTACCCAAATCCATTCGCTGTAATGAAGGGTGAACGTTCGAAAAGTCCGCTTAAAAACTCTTTACGGCGGCCAATTTACATTTTTCATCTGAGATGATAAAACCAAATTATCTTGTCCTTCACACCAGCGCATTACCACAGTTTCTCTGGAAACTTATCCCCTTCTTAAAACTTTAAATGTTTGAAAAGAATTATATTCTCCTTACATTAAAATTTCAAATTTTGGCAGCTGATACAATTTTTTT